TTCTGGTGATTCTAAGCTATCTTGACAGATATTATGAGCAGGTTGATGAGAAATACCATACTACCTAACCTGCCAGGGAGCTGAGAAGTGAGAAGAGTGCTGGATTCTGCTTCCACCTTGCATTTTCCCCATATAAGTATACAAAAGTTGAGTAAAATCTCATTTAGAGTGCAAGATGCACTCCAATTTGAAGGCTGAACTGAGCAGGAGAGAGATGAATGGAGGAAGAAGCAGAATGCAGATACAATTTGGCTCCACATAGAATGAATAATATATAAGCTCCATTTGAAAGCGGAAACCTTTGCAGAAGAAGGGTTTGCATAACTATTATTAACCATTCGAGCGTTTGTGTGTGTCACCTCAGCTCTAACTTGAGGTCCTAGACTCCAGTCTCTATTTACATTTATTCTCTGCCTTCTACCTTTACTGATCATATATGCAATATAGAACTCACAAATTGAACATGACGTGTTATTTCAGCAGATGAATGCTTGGTTTTCACTCATCTATTTTTTGCATAATTTTAGTCACAAGCTTATGTTGTATCTGGTAAAGAAATCCAGTAGTGGACTGTGGATTGGTCAGCCAGAATACAGCGTGCTATAGACATAAAAATATGGAAAGAGCTTCAGACACTAGTCCTGTCTGGTGGAAAACTGTTGCCTGCAAACACCATCCACATCTTCAAACACAGACCTGTGAAATGCAAACAGTAGGAATGTGTCAATACCTTTGGCCTGGTCATACACAAGATCTGTTGAAACATGGTCTTTAGAGATTTGAATCTTCAAAGTGAGAGCACTTCTGTCTTGGTGGGAAGCGTGGCTGCTTCACGTCTGTGTGCATTAGCACTTCAGCACACCTTACTTAAAATTCTCCTCCTTTTGTTGCTGTTTGAGTTGGAGTGTTGCAGATTTGCCATTTCTTATACTCTACCTGTATGTGTTAGTGGCCAGCTCAAAATACCTGGTGTACAGGTGTTATTTCAAGCTGCTGTATTCTGTCTATCAGATACAAAATAGGCTTTTAAAACATTTCAAGTGTTTTGTAACCTAAACTTGCATGGTATAATATCTTAAATGTGACAGCAACATCTGAGATACAGTTCCTGGCAGCAAGCAGTTAAATTGCTGCTTGCCCGTATGAACTGCTGTCTGGTTTACTCCTGGAATAGGAATTTAACTTGTTAGACCAAGTTACTCCCTCTAATTCAAGACCTATAAATCTTCACCAATAAAAAAATGGTTAAAAATGTAGTGGCTTCTTTTAAGAGAGAAAGAGGAAAAAAAAAAAGAAACCCTGTTCTTTCATTGCATGGATAGCATTCTCTAAAGTGCTACAGCAATCTGGTTTTAATCTTAGTTACGATCCTAAGTAGATGCCTTCTTGACTCTGGCATCATCATGGCTGCAAAATAAGAAGCAGGCTCACTGGCACTGAACATATGCGTGTCCTGGATTCCCTCTGCCTCCTGCTTGTGGAAAGCTGGCAAAAGCAGCAAATGCTGTGCCGTGACATTTTTTTCCTCTGGTTTATTGTATTTAGATGGGACAAGAGTACTGCAAAGCTGCCGGTTGTCCACTTGATGGTATCAAGTAACTGAGCATGGGAGGGTATGGCTGCTTTAATGCTCTTGACTCGGCAGACGTGACCAGAGATTTTTATAACAGGTAAAACATCTGTGTTCTGTTCTTCGCCTACACAAACAAGTCCTGTGCTAGATTTAATCAGACTGTGCATAATTTAGCTTGCTGCTCAGATTCTGCAGTCCAGTCCAGTCTGTTCCGGACCAACTTTGCCGTGAAGTGGATAAATAATGCCTCCATCAGGAAAATCACCATGGTTTTGCTGCAAGCAGAGGACACTGCTAATTTGCATTTTCAAAGGCTCTCTGTTATCTGTTTCTAGGTGAAAGCACATTAGGAAAAAAGCTATGGGAAATAATTTGTTCTCAACCTCTCCCATTATCAAGTAATTTCTAAGCATTTTAACAAACTTTTAGCTTATATCTTTCCCAGAACCAAGCTTTAGCAAAAAGAAAATCGTAACTTTAAATTGAAGCAAGGAGGAAGACTTGACACTGGTCTTTTCCTCTTGCTCTTCTTTATTATGTTTCCCTTTGTCTGAGGATATGTTTGAGCAGACCCATGTACACATGAGCATGAACCTTGTCTCTTTTCAGAGGTGACACCAGACAGGGCTAACATTTCTTTTAATTGTGTAGAAGTATAGCTACCCATTCTGAAAAAGACCATGAAAACAATTTCTTGGATATTTTAGGGTTCTGGTTTCCTGGTTTGGGCTTTGATTCTAGTTTGGCAGATTTTCCTATTTGTCCCAGACAGAAAAAAGAAAGACTTCCCATCACACCTCTTCAGAATAAGAAACACCTAGCATGAGATTTGTTATTCAGTAGGAAAATGGCTTTGCACTGTGCCCCACAGAAACAAGGTAATCTGGCTCATTTGGCCATCTTTATGATGACAAGTACGTGCAAATCTAATGTAACAAGGGACTTTCTGTCTCAGGCTATTAAATTTCTCATGCAGAATATGCCTTGTCCAAATCAAACGGATGGCATGATGCTGGGACAGAAAGATGCTTGGGCAGAAAGACTGCATCATTTGGCCAAGCAAAACATCGAGCCACATCACACTGACCTATGGGTACGTGGTTGTCTGTGCCCTATATGGGGCACTGGAGCAGCCAGAGGATGTCTGTATCTGCCCTAAAATAAGAAGAGCTGATCTCAGGAGGAAATGTCACCCTGGCCCAGATGAGCAGCACCCAACTGCACACCACAAGTGAGGCAGTGCTGCTGTGAGGCAGCAGTGGGGTGCGGGTCAGCCGTCCTGCTCCCAGCGGCACCTCACTAATCCCCCGCAGAAAATGCCAATCGTATCCTCCGGGTTTGCAGGGTTACTTTGCTGGATGTCACCACGAGTAAGGGTGAGTAATGGTGCTGGCTACTAACAACAGGGGGTAATGTGAAGCGCTGGAGCTGGCGCCAATGGCTTCCAGCGCCTCGTGTGCTGCCAGCCACTCTGAGGCAGCCTGGGCAGTGCTCATACCATACTCAGGGAGCCCATGCTGTGCGCCAAATAAGAGCATGCTGGTATTAGTTATTTTCTGCTTTCAGTTTATTAATTACAAATACTACTTCAACTTCTCATTTCTGACCGATAGTCTGTGAGCAAGTCCTTGTTTTGAAAAGTGCAGTTGTTATTTTAAGTCCTGAGCTTAAGGTACGTGCTGCTTGGTGGAATTTGTTTGCAAACTGTCCTTTGCAACTCTTAACTGTTTATTGTCAAGAAACTATCACCTAGGGCGATGTAATCATGGTTTCTTCTCTCTGACTAGAGTATACAAAACTTTTTGTTTAGAAAGAAGAGACAAATTTTGAAGAATAAATGACTAGCTATGAACTTCTGGTACACTTTATTCAAAGTCTAAGTAATAGACTGAAACCCACAAGACTGTTTTGGATCCATGTCTTCATGGCAGTTGTGACTGCTTGGAAAACAATAGGTAATAAAACTGCACAAATACGATTCCATAAGGGAACTTGATTCATAGTATAAACCAACACTCTTGGACTTGTCTAAGAAGTGCCATAGTTAGACAAATCTCTTTTTCATCCCATATCTTGTAAGTAGTCAGTGGTCACATAAGTAAAAGCCAAATAGGGCGTCCTTTCTATGTGTTCTTTCAATATTTGGTCCTGCTTTGAGAAGTTTCTCTGGGGCAAAAAGTGCACCAAACACAGGAAACTTCACACAAAAGTGCTTTCTAGGAGATGCACTGCGATAATACCAAGATAAGAACCAAACTACAGCAGGTCAGTTCAGCACTTGGAAGGTAAGAGGCAGAGAGGAAAGGACCAGAAACCACCAAGCTTCCCGTCAGGCCACACCTGTAGTTCTTTGGATGCTGATGCTCTTTTTCTAGTTAACCAAACCAGGTACAATGAAAACTGCCTACTGTGCATTGAACAGTGAAGAAGCAACTTGATAAACAAACAAGCAGAAAGAAAATTGGCTAAAATTAAACCTTCATACAAAAGGATGTTAGCGCAGGCTGCTTCTTTGGAAGTGAGCCCTGGCGTCGCCTGCCTGCGACGGTGAGTTATACACGTTTATCCTCTGCACTCTAAAAAAAGAACGGGACAACGGAGCACTCCCGTGCTTTATGCCCGCACCTTGGGCATAACAGCCCAGCCATAAACTGCCATAAATTTGCTCGGTGTTCCGGAGCTGCCCCGGCGCGGCTAGCCGCCCCTTGCAGCCCCCTCCCCAGCACTGCGCGGAGCGGGGGCCCCTCCCGAGCCCTCTGCGACCCTCGCCCTCCTAATTTGTGAGTCTGATGTCCTGCACGGCATGCAGACATTATGGAAAGAGAGCCCCCCGCGGCCCGCACACCGCCCCCTCCGCCTAGGTGAATAAATTATACCGCTGAGGGCGGGGATGCGGGGCGGCGGCTCCGCGGCTGACAGCGGGGCAGCGCGGGCTGCCTGCCGCCTGCGGACTTCCCCGCCTGGCGCGGCTGCTGGGCGCCGGCAGGCAGGTGGAGCGGGAGCAACAAGTCCTCCTCCGGCGGCGGGGAGGGGAACGGGAGGCAGAGGGGGGGCGCTTCCCGCCCCGCGCCTGAAAAACCTCTCTGACAAGTGGCAAAGCGCTCGCAGAGCACGCTGCTCCCTCCGAAGGGCGGCTGGAAGCTGCGGGGGCTCGCCTCGCACCCAGCTCCGCTGCCGGCTTGTGGCTCGTCGCCCCCGCCTCCTGCCGCCGCCCCTGCCGCGGGGTGGGTCGCGACCGGTGCGAGGTGCGGAGCGGAGCGCGCCGCCGCTTCGCCTTCAAAGTATCTGAGCCGGCTGCGGGCTTTGCTTCTACTTACCGCGGGTTTTTTTCCTTCTTTTAAATCATTATTTTGTGATTTTATTGTTTATTTTCTCCTACTTCGTTGCTGTTATTTTTGTTATCGTTGTTTGTAAACTAATTGCCTCCATGGGGGGCGGAGGAAAGGAAATCAAAGCTGCCGCAGCTGAAGGGTGTGCGAGCACGCTGGGGAAGAGCCGAGGAGCCGCAGGACAGGATAGCAGCGGGAAGCCCGGCGGCCTCGAGAAGCCCGGCCTCGGGAAGCTCGGCTGCGGCGGGGACCGCTGCCCGCGGCGGGCCGGGCCGGTCGGCTTCGCGCTGGCCGCGCTCCTCTCGGCGCTGGCCGCGGCCTCCTGCGTCTACCTGGGCGTGCGGACCAGCGACCTCCAGGCCAGGGTCGCGGCCATCGAAGGCGCCCGAGGGGGCTTCTCTGCCGCCGCCCCGCCGCTGCCCGGCTTTTCCTTGGAGCAGCTGAACGCGATGATGCAGGAGAAAGTGGAGCGACTTCTCGCCCAGGTGTGCGGGACGGAGGTGGCCGCTGCTGTGCGTGTGGCGGGCATGGGGGATGCTCGGGGCGGGGGACGGCCGAGGCCGTGAGTGGGGCGGCCGGGGCGAGTTGCTCGGGTGAGAGGTGGAGGGGGAAGCGGGGAAAGTGAGCCCGCATCCCCAGGGGGCGGTGGGGCCGGGATGCCCCGGGCTGCTGGAGCGGGATGGGGATCGCGGGAGAGCCCTGTATACGCCGGGCCTGGGGCGCTTTCCTCATCTGTAACTCGCCGCCGTCCCTGCGCTTCTCGACCGCGCGTGTCGAGGAGGCAGAAAGACCGGGGTCACTTGGGGCGGCGGGGGAAGAGACCTCGAAGTGTCGGGCTTGGCTTTGTTCGTGTGGGGTGGTGAGGTCACTGAGGCACTTTAGGCCGATTCCGGGCAAAGGAGCCACCGCTGGTTGCGCAGCCTCTGGCATAGCGGTCGGGAGCGCTGCCTGTGGCGAGCGAGTTCACCGAGTGCCCTCATGTTGCTTCTCTCGCCCCCAGAAATCCTACGAGCACTTCGCAAAAATACGAGTAGCGAGAGAAGCGGCTCCAGAGTGCAACTGCCCACCAGGTAACAGGCACAGCTTGGAAATCTCTCGGAGGCTTGTAACTCTGGGGTGTTGAGTATCCGTGTTTTTGAAATACACCTAAGTCGGGGGATGCCTCTTCAGTCGACAGCTGTTCCTTGGGTGGAAAAGGTGTAAAGCCCAGAATGATTTGTTTTCACTGTGGCCCTAGATTGGAATTAATGCTAATAAAAACCACCCATTAGGCTGGATGCTGTCAAACAAGAACACTTACAAAGCAGTTAATGAAATATATCAGCAGATGAAATATATTCTGTCTTAAATGGGGTCATACTGAATCAAGGCACTGTGTGCTCAACTTGGGAAGTAGAGCAAAAGTCCCTAGCAAAAATATTGATCAATTTATAACATGGATTGAAATAGGTGGAGGGTCTGTTGCAAGTTAGCAGTAATATATACATGAGCTTCTTTCAGCCTTATTTTTCTGTAGTCTTGGTGGAAAGCAGTTTCCCTAGGAAGGAACTGGAGGTTGACTTTGGAAATGGGCCCTTCTAAAAGACTGCATAGTTGTTCATACATTAATGCTGCAACATTTCTGTGGTCTTTGTGCTCCTTTTTGATAATCTGCTAACTGTCATTGCTGTTTTAGCTTTAGAAACAACTTCTAACGTATATCCAGGTTTATTTAGCATCTTTGAAGTTAAGAAAATAATGCCAGTGTTTCACAGGGTTCCAGCATCCTCTGTGATGAGGCACACTAGATGCAGAGGATGCCTTGCATATCCTCTCACTGTATAAAAAACAATCTCCTTTACAGGTGGAATATCGACTGTCAACAGGACTTAAGATGATTAAGCTTGCCAGCAGGATGTGTGATAGTACTCATATATAAGGAGGGAGCTCTCCTAATTCAGGATTCAATTCCTGCCAAACTCATCAGTCTGAAGGAACTACCGAATCTCAGTGTTAAAGCTGCCTGCAGTGCTTGGTACGATTTTTGTGATGATACAGCTGAGGACAGAGTACTTACTTGCTGGTGTAGCAGTTGCCACGGCTATCGTAGGAAGGACAATATATATGACTAGGACTGTTTCAAAAGAGTGCATAGAAATACTCAACTCCCAGTTAGTTTTGGTAAGGAACCTTGGTTTTCTGCTGTAGTATATATATTTTACCTTTAAGACTAACATGAGCAAACTGATCTTATTTTTTCTGTTGCTTAACTGCAATGAATTACAAGATGCAAGTTTGTGCACAGAAATGAGAGTTACTCATGTTGTTTTTAGTGATGCATTCTGTGAGTCTGAAATGATGTTTGATGCTAAGCTCTTTCCCTTTTTCTTCTTCCTTTTTTAAATCCATCTGTTATGATACTTTCACTTACTGTTTTCCTACCAAAGGTCAGTATCTATTTTTTCATGGTCGGTGTTACATGCTGCTTTACTTCTTCACTACCACTAGAGCTCCACATTATAACAATTTTTATCTGATCTTTTTTCTTAAGTATGTATTATCAAATAGATAATGAGCGACAGAATATTTCTCACAAGCATTGTAAAAATCCTTGCTGTGTGAAAGTCAAAGCAATTTGGGGAACATATTCGAGGGAGCAAGATTTATAAGACCAGGAAAACTTACATGAATCATTACAAAGTAAAAAAAAAAATAAGTTGCAGAGAGGTGGGATTAGAAATGTGATATGGAGCTTTTCACCTCTTGGTAGCTGTTTCAATTTGGAAGCAAGTTTAGTAGTGACTGAAAGATGTTGCCATGTGGTAGCCTCATTTTGCAGTTGATGCTCTCAGGCTTGTTGCCAGTGGACAGGTGTCTACCTCAAAATGGCATCATCTTGGGAGCCTTGTCTGAGACAGCAGGGGCTGAGTGGCACCACCACCTGAGGACAGTGCCTTCCTAACTGCAGGCATTAGGCAGAGCAGGAGGGGATAGAGCAAATAAATTGTTGTTTTTTCATTTGGTTCCCTCTGTTAGAATTCCTTTTTGACTGCACAGGAATGGCTTTTGTTTTAATCCTTAATGCTGCTATTACAAATAGTTACATTCAAAAAGGTATTTGGTTTAATAGGATAAGTGTCATGGTACATCAGTGGTTTTTCTGTTGCCTGCTATTCGCAAAGCCAAAGAGTACATTACTTCTTTCCCACATGGTTCCCTTTTGCGTCTGTATTATGCTCAACTTCTTAATTTCTTTCCTGTGTTTCTGTAATAATAAAATACATGTCTGTTAGAAATTACTTTGGAAGGCCTTCTTGGTACAGAGGTGAATTTTGAAATGTCCCTATGCTGTGAGTAAAGGTCACCACTGAATGGCCACCAGGACAGTTTCCATCATCTTTCTCTTTAAAGAGGAATAAAGATTATTTAAAAGTAGGTTATGTTGTTCTCTACCAAAAGAAGAGAAGGAAGTTGAATCTGCAGACAGGAGGGTGAGAATGTGGCCTCTGGTTCAGGATTAAAGTTATGCAACTGGTATAGGTGTGATTAGCTTGAGATTTTCATCCCCTTTTGCCTCACTATGGTAGGAACCCGCACATTCAAAGGAAAGTGGGTTTGAATAGCTCAGATACCTTTGGAAGCCAGATTCACAAGCTCACAGCTTGCAGAGCAGCCTGCATGTAGCTACTTTTAATTCAACAGTAGCCTTGCATTTTGTCTGGAGTGAAGAGTGATCACATTTCTCTTTAAAAACTTTATTTTCACTAAATGTGATTTTTTTCTTATTCTTATGTTCTATTTTCTAATGAAAGAAACGTGTTGTGAGGTGATGTTGGAGTTTTGGTTTTAACTCTGCAACTAAAACCAGATACCAAGGATTTTGTAAATATTTTAAAAATTACAATAGCAGGCATTCTTCCTCTTCTTAAAGCAGAGTAATAAAGTTTGAAAAGTAAATTTGTGCTGACATTCTTCTTAAATTACCTCAGCCCTAATAAGAATGCCAATATAAATCTTATACTTTTAGCTGGTGCTGCAGTCACTGCTGGTAGTTGGCCTTTTGCTCAAAGGGCTAGGAGGCAAATTGAGTGGCTAAAATAATTTTAAGCATAATAAATTAATTTTCATTTGCCAGGTGAATTTTTTTTTTAAGTTGATGTTTAAGTTTTAAGAGGGAAGGTAGGTGTGTAGGTACTTATTTCATACTTCTAAATCTTCCTCTAAGTGGCTGTGGGAGTATAATCAGCTCTTATGAGGAACAGTCCACCACCATGCTGGGTACTTCTTAATAAGTGCCAAGAATTACACAGTTGTGGAAAGTGTAACACATACAGAAAGCACAGAGATGTGCCTCATTCAATAGAATTTAGAGGGTTTTTTTTTTTTTTGTAGATTCTTTCAGATTTTTCTTGTCCCAAAAGCATTCACATGTGAATGCACCTGTAGTCTTGAACAAAAATGGACATATGCTTACATGTTTTAGTGATCTGATCCTTTATATATTGTATGAGTCAAATTCAGATACTTGCAGTTCTGTGCCATGATATCTCATTGTGTAAGTGGTCCTCAGTGCCTTCTGGAGTCAGATAGTGTTGACAGGAGTAGGAGTCAAATCTAGTAGTACAAGAAGTTCAAACTTTCTCAGCAGGAAGGCTGGCAGGTGATTATGCACAGTTCTGTGTCCCTTTTGACCAGGGACCAGTTTTAGGAAGCAATTACTTTTTTTTTCCTTCTTCTCTTTTTAGGAAGACATTTATAGTGAATTTATTCCTTAAAGGAACACATTTCTTTAATTCAGCATTGACAAAGTGTAAGTTACGTAAGAGATGTATTTTAACTGTATAGCTATACAATGCATTGTGTATGCATGTTCACTATAACTTGCATGTGAAGTTATGAGGTCTGTAGGGTTTGACATTTGTTTTGGGGGTTTTTTTCCTCCCCAGAACATTAGCTGAACTTCAGTGTTGGATACCTATCAAAGTTGACTGCAAATTTGACTTCGTTTTTCTTCACTGCCATAAGTAATGTTTCTTTGTTCTTTCTCTTGTATGTTTCCCATGAGGAAATGTACATTTTTTTTCGTCCTCTTGTGACTCTAGGTCTTCACAGACCCTTTCCCTTTCTACAGCTTCACACCCTTTCCAGGCACAGACACTTTGGTCATTCATTCTTAGCCAGCTATTTTGTGGTGTTTTTGTAATCATGTCATCTTGATTCTCTGTTCCATCCTAGGGAGCTTTATGGTTTGGCATTTGAAGTACCTCCAATTTCACTGTGCAGTTTGCTGCCATCAGGTTTGTTTCAGTGTAGCTGCATGTGTATAAACCTATTCATTCAGGATGAAATGCCATGAGCCAAGGGCTTTTTTTTGAGGGAATCTAGAATACCAGTTGGTCTTTTTCTTGGTTGGTTACAGTAGTTCTAGTGTGAAAACTGTTTTCACAGCTACAGTTCTTCAGTGAGATGATGAATCTGCTATATGAATTTTGATAGCAGCATGGATGGCAAAAAACAGTGTATTTTCTTAGAATCCTAGTGCTATTTTTGTTGTCTTAAGCATCTAATGTTTGTTTTGACATGCAATGCAAGTACAATTTAGGTGCTCTTTCTTATTTCCACAAGGACTGTTCCCTGGAGCATTTCAATTAGTGAGGCTGAAAGAATGGAAGAGAAAGCAATTTTTGGGATTAAAAGAATCACGAAATAGGTATCAGCAGGGTATTACTCTTTTAAAATTTTTAAAAATTATTATTATGCTTACAGTGAAGTGGTCCTGGAAAGACTGAAGAGGTAAAGAAAGAAAAGAGGAGCTGACTTACATGTTTACCAGTAGCGAGACCTAAGAGAAAATGTAGGTAATAAGTATCTGAAGTGATTTTTTTTCCTGTTACTGAAAATTTCAGAGTGTGCTATCTGAACCTAGCTCCCAGCACTACTTATTTCTGCCATCTAGATGTCATCTATTTGCTGAACGCAGTGCTCAGCTCTAATTTTTGTAATTTTTCTGACAGGTCTCCAAGTCCCCCTTTCATACCTTCAGTGGTTTGATATTTTTCATTTCAGTTTCTAGATCAAGATGTTTATTGAT